CCGACAACATCCGCGTAACCAATAAATTCGGTTAGGTGTCCACGAGCATTCATACAATCATTCGAAAATCGAACGTCACTGTTGACACTGGGAAAATATAAAAACTGGTTAGGATCATTGACCATGTGAGGTTACTTTCCAGGTTTCGCCATATGGAACATTCTCAGCGAAGCAATCAATTGTTTTCAGTGCTTCGTCTGCGGATCGGGACAAATTATATGTGGCTAACATAGTGATTGGTTCAAACGTTTGTTCCGGCATGAGTAGGACAATGGTTAGAAGTCTTGTTCAGTCTTGTTCACCCAGAGCTGTTGGAATTACGTAAGTACCAATGTCAGAGTTACGCTTACTTTGACTGCTGTTCAGCCATGGTGGACAAAGCGATTGAACACTTTGGAGCAATGCATTCTGCTGTGGCGGGCATTTTTAAACCCAAACATTTAGATTCGTCCATAAATATTGGCAAACTGCTGCAAGCGCATTTGAGTTATTAACCCTGTGATCTGTTTTGTACCCGCCCGTAGCTAATAATAATAATAATAATAATAATAATAATAATGTGCCAGCTGTATGCCGTAACTGCGCTTCGCTGCGCGCGACCACTACCAGTCGCGCACGGGCTTGTGGTCACACTGTTTCTCTTCTTAGCTGCCTCATCTTATTGCACATTCAGTTAGTAAAGCTCATTCGAATCGGATCATCTAAATATCTTCACTGATCACTACTATCCGGATCCATTATTCGCACTTTTTTCACATAACCCCATTCCACAGACTTCACACTTTCACCGCGCAGAATTTATTTTGTATTATCTTGTATTTTATTATTTTTGCATTTGTATGTTTTTCTTTATTGCATATATTTGTATTTTGTGTTATTTTCTGTACAAAACATTGTCTGTAGTCGCGTTTTGATGATATGGCTGAGACCTTTTCAACAAACCCACAATTACTCCTCGCATTAGCTGTGTAAGGCAGCTATGGGTAAGCTGGCTTCATGCAGCAGTCAGATTACGCCAACGAGCCGCTCCACAATTAACAGTCACCTGACCTGTCCGACAATAACTCACAGTTTACAAATGATGCGTTCCAGACTTTTGCAAATAAGTGTGCATTTTTGCACACTAGTCGAACCGAAAAGCAGAGGAAGTAGTGGAACAAACCTAGAGACTATTGCAAAAGCCACCGCACTCGTATCTGATGCTGTTGGAGATTCGCAGCATGTCATTATCGAACATCTGTCTCAGTCCAGTGCAACATCTGTATAGCAGAAAGAGAAGAAATCGGATACTTTTGTCTGCTGAACTTGTACACCCAGTCTTGCCGTCGCATAAGCAACGGCAACTGAATTAAAAAAAACGGAAATCTGCATAGTAACGGTATTACGACCGCGCTACCTGAGCTATCAGTAAACGGTGTATTGTGGATTCAACCAACACTGGGTGTCCGCGAAAGATGGAAGAAAGGTGTACCAACCACGAAGGTCGGAGAAAGATCTTAGTAAATTACTACTGAAGGGGGGATAATCAGAAGAAACCGAGTGCAGCCGAGGCGACATCAGGAACAAGGAGGTGAACCTGAAGCAAGTTACACAGCGGCTTACTGGGAGGTCACAACGACAGAGGCAGTAAATCCATATGGAGTGAAAGCGCGTACGGGGCCTTCAGCGACACCGATGCGTCTGATCACGAAGTCGCAAAGGAAGAGATCATGCAGTCAAAGGAACGAGCCAAATTCACATGATGAAGTAAACACCTAGCTTACCGCAAGCGAACGCAACAGTTGCTTGGATGTCTAAGGATCTTCGCCTATACACTGACTGGTTCATATTTTTCTGCACTGCAGTGATTTTTTTTGACAGTTTCAAACGAAGAACCTCATGTATGCAGAAACGTCGTTAGTTATCGAGGCGACTTAGATGCTTACTCCGAGGCTAAACCAAGCTAGTCATGTTGTCATTTTCCATGAGATTACTTTGTCGAACAAACCGTTTGTCCTTGAACTACCGAGTTTTGCGACAGACGTCACGTAAAGTGCAGTTGATCTACACCCACACGAGTCAACACACAGTAGCAGGTGCTAATCTACAATACGCGAAAAAAATTAAAGCTGTTGGTTTCTGTGGCATTTCTTTTAAATGGTTTGCCGGCCAAGGGCCTAAGGGATCAAAAGCCTGCCTTGTAGTCCGATGGCGCGTATTTGAGCCTACCTAGTGGACCGGGAGACTCTCGCAGTATCCTCAGCTCACACGCGGCTATTGTCAGTTGCGCGGTTGCGAATGATCGATTCTGCTGATGCCTTCTTCTTTTAAATCGACAAACGTATCTGAGTGCTCAGTTTTAGACAATGTGAGGCATCAGCAGCTTGTTTTGCTGCAACTCATACTCACCACCTGTCCCGTGTGAGTTGTAGATACTGCGTTGGTCGCCTGCTCCCCACTCATACTTGAATCCGCGAGCTCCAGACTGCTGAAATTGGCTGTGCTTGATGTGAATGTAGACAAAGTGTCTACCTGTCGATTATACTCACTCCAGAATACACTTGGTCGTTGATTGAGGATATGGGATGCACGGTTCTTGTGCTAGATTCCATGCATCCAGTGTGGAACGGCCCGGCCACCGCCTTGCGTACATCTGGCACGCATTATTCAATAAGTAGATAGATGAGAATGCTGCTACTGTGCATGTCGAAGGAGTATGGACCTGCTCCATCAATGAAACGTGACTCCCATCCACATACCTCTCGGTCTTATTCCCTCGGGTTTACACGGGATATGGGATGTGTGAAAGGGGCTGTGGATGGTGCTGTGCAAGCAGCCCATGATCCCTTTGTAGGCGCAAGCGCCCTGTCCCGTTGGAGACTGCAGTGACAATCAAATCCAGAATCGGATGCGACTAACCCCATATACCTATAATCAACAGTACAAGAAGTAGAGCTGTCACACTGTACAACGAACCATGACTGGGATTGCAAGACAAGTGGCGCTCGTTCGACGAATTCGCTGCATATACAAATGTGAAAGCTCAAGGACAAAATCGAAAATATGTGATCTGTTGATTTGTCCGCATAAGTGATTGACCGTACACGTTGTCTAATCCACTAGCATGAAAATGAAACAGAGCAAACAAATGCTCGGAGTGAATCAATTAAAATGGAATTGATCGGAACTTAGAAATCAAGCGTGCAAACACAAAAGACGTTGAAATAATGCAATTACCTTAACGAATGTGTCGACGCGATCATAGTGGGCAACCAGGTCCGAATCATCCCAAAATTTGGGATTTCCTTTGCGGTATGCCGTAATTCGTTTTTTGAGTTTAGCAGCGTAGAAAATGGATTTTGTTTTTGTGGGAACGTGCTTTGAGCAGCAAACCACATCTGGATTAAGGTTATTGGTGTAATTTCGTTATTTGTTGAAATAGTGCGGGACCATCTTCTGCTGGAAAGGCATCGAACTCGTCAGTGGACTTGAGCGTTTCGGTCGGAGTTATCTGAAGCACAGAGGTAGATGTCTGTGGAGAGAGTGAAGGTGAGTACACACACGTTTCAGTCAGTTCCTCAACTAATAAGTTTGGAGTTAAGAACGATTTATCATTTGGTAGCCCTGACTGACCAGAGGACAAGGGATCAGCTGAGGCATTGAACACAGATTGCAACGAACGTGATGCTTAGCCATCCGTGTCATCCGATGAAATTGCATGAAGAGTGGTAACATACAAATGGCGTCCGTTTCCTTCCCCTCCCCCTCTGCCGTTTAGACGTCCTCTCCAACCCCGATCTCATTTCTGACCCGTAATAGGATTTCTATTTCTTGCGGCACAATTGTCGGCTTCTAGCTCCCCGAAACTATGTCCATCTGTTACTGCTGGCTCATATAGCGTTCCTCTGTTGATTCATGTTTCCCTTTCTCTTGTATTGGGGCACAATAGCGGAGACGTTTCTCACCCCTAGCAAACTTGCAAAATGCTGACTGTTATTATGCCATTGTCAGCTTTGTTCAACATAGTCCATATCTAGTCACTGATTTATGTGAATCTGCTGGCCTACCAAATGAAATATTGTCTTTACATTTCCACCTACAGCATCATGTCATTTATTTTGTCACCTTCCTACTTTGGGTTTCAACTTGCGAATCCCACCAGACAGTCTGACGAATAACTTAGGCACGGTTTCTACGCTGAACCTGTTCACAGTAATAGTTGCTTCGATTGGGCGGCCAAACGGAGGGAATGCCTTCTTACGTCTTTTTGCCACTAGACCGTGCTAACAGCGTAAACGAACTTTGCGCGTGTCACATGAACAGTCATCCAAATATGGAACTCAGTTGCGATGTGATTGGCTAGCAAACTCGTGTATACGTCGACTGACTGAATGCAGGTTGAGTCTGGACGCGAACAAACGGCTAAATACGGCAAATCAGTCACACTGTGCGCATTCACATTTGTGGTGGCTAGGACGCCGAAGAAGATGCTTGCGCGAATTTTTCCATACTTACAATGTATGGCTCAGCTATAAATGGAAGCGTCTGTTCTCATAGAATACACACCGTCTGCCGAGGCTTGACTTTTGGTTTCACGGTTGGGTTAGACGCTAACCAGAGCAGATACATCGGCAGCAGTAACGCACGCGAGGCAGTAACACAGCTTCCACACTGCGTAATATAAAATAAGACATGATGTTATTTTCGTTTTGATTTTGTTGTTTTTTCATTTAGCATTATCACATTCATTGAGTTTCTCTCACCTTTAATATATGGAGCGTTGACGATGACTTAATCCCACCTACCCAGTCTTTTCCGATCGGCATGCATGTCCTCGTGATATCAAGCTTAGACAGTGCAAAATGTTTTGTGTGTTCTCTTTACGAAATTCTTAGGTGGCTGTTACTTTAATTCGATTGTATAGGTGCTATCGTTTAACACAAGCTTTTAAGCTATTGTTTGCTTTTCACAAGTCTGTTACTCAACACATCAAACCTATTGCCCTTAATTTCTCCCAACAGATTCCCCCGTGCCAATGCCTTATCAATTCGTTCCAAGGTCACTACGTTCGCTCGATGTGACCTCGTGTGTATTACAGGCACAGTACCTGTCAAGCTCTCAGCTCCTGCAGTGGAAGGAATTTTCAACTCAAGGCCTGTTCCTTCGGAAATTATTACTATTTCTTAATGTACTTTTTCGAATAAGATCGTTCCGCTGGCACAGCTCTCAAGTGACCTTGTAACTGTGTTTCTGTTTCAAATCCTTTGTAACTTTTTGCGACGATGTATATATATATATATATATATATATATATATATATATATGCGCGAACAATAACAGCACACATTTCACTTCAGACCAATGACACACTCCGATTGAATATGGTGACGCACACACTTTTAGTCGGCCAATACACATGTGACCAGATATTCACTGCGTTTTAGCTTCACCACCCTCGTGTTCTCCTGTCTTGCTGCTTAGCATTTTCCTTTTCGTGTTCTGTTTTTGGGTTAACTTCCACTCGATAGCCTATGCTGACGCACTGGTAGAAAATTGTCTCGCTGACACTACCTCTGTCTCACAGTGCATCCAACTACTCATGGTCATTCAGTGGAACCACCTTTTTATAAAGCAACGAAGCTTCGGCCGGCACCGATATGTTCCTCCTGATATTGACTGCTGCTTTTTAGTGTTCACATTTCGTGCACGTCGCTGCCGTTTTTTGAATGATGCACACTACGTCAATTCGGATGATTGCTGGGTAATAGTGCGTGCATCCGAGAGATCTCATTCTCTATGCGTGATATGTGCTCTAGCTCGCTATAACTTTCGATTACTCCATTTTATGTATACCGCGCAGGTGAGTTACGCTATGCCCTATTTCTAAACACATCTGACCGGAACCTCCTTCGAATCGCTTGTTTCTGGATAACTTGCGGGGTTATCTGCTGTGGATTGTTTGGGGTTTGGAAAGCGGTCGGTCAGGTTATCCTGCTCTCTCTTTGGTGTGTCAAGTAGAATTTGCTTGACCAATTGTACTTATTGTCTCCATTTGAGGTTATGTCTCTATGTTATACCTTCACGGATGCACGAACAACAACATTTACATTAGATACAGACCAAATCTGCTGTAACTATACCATGACGGTCTTCGGTTCTTGCTCTTGTTACACACTCAATACCTTTTCTCTACTGATATTTCTCTGTTTCAAATGTTCACGGTGCGCATAATGGGTTGCAATCCCGGTCATCTATCGTCCTCCTTTCTCCTTTTTACTCTTCGCTTTCTAGAAAGCTTCAGTTGACCGGTTTTCCTGAGTTTCGTTTCTCAATTTTTTTCACAGACGCTTTTGTTTCTCACCTCGATTTCTCAGTTGAAAACGGTTAAGCAAGTCAGTCCATTAAAATATAGCATAACATTATACCTTCGGGTCACCTGTTGATCGGTTTCTTCATCCATACGTTTCTTCGCAGCTAATAACTTGCATGTATTAGTTTTGTATATAACATTACTTGTTAAAACCAGAGGCCGCCTATTTTGACTGGCCTATCGTCTTTTTTAGCCACCATGCTTCAACAACCCATTGCTTGCTGTTTCGATACAGCTGCCCCTGCTCACGTTAGTGCCGAAAATTCACACTGTTATGTAGCTTGGCCGCATTTATGATCTGTTCATTGTTTGGGAGATGGCTTTTTACAATTCGTATTGAAGATGTCTGAACATTACTGCCGTAGTACGTTAATAATCTTGCGCACTTAATGATTGCTTCCTCTCTACGACTTGGTATAAATAGCAGTTGGAGAGAGACTTATTTAATTCCGCGCGAAATTTGCATTGTCAACATTTCGCTGCTAGCTTTCTTTTCATTTTAAAATCTCCGTTTTTCGATGATCCAACTAATACGCTGTTCACTGTACGGATAGTTCACTGAACACTTTTGTTTGCTTTCAGTTTACGCGATTTACATGGGCCTTTATCACATCTAGAATTATCATGTCAGAACGTGCTTCTAGTGACAGGGTCTCACATATATCTCTTTTTCATTTTTACCTATCTCTGGCTTATTACACTTGTTCGATTCACCAAGGCTGTACCTTTATACGATATTAAGGATTGGAAATTGCCTTCACTACAGATTTAATGATTGCAACCGTGATGAATGAATTCTTTTGGAGCATACCAATAAATCAACATAATTCTTTATATGGCATGTAAAATTGTGTTGAAATCTTTTTAACCTTGTCTCCCTTTTTACCGTAGCTTTTGTTGAATTTGAGGTATCGATTGATGACAGTTTATCCACTCTCTGTACCTCAACCCAGTTGTAGAGGTCTTAGCTGTTTCGACTCCTAGTTAGAATGGACGAAATGCACTTCACCCGTAGAACCCCATGCCCAGAGTCGCTAGCTGAATTCGCATTGCTACTACCTTAGGTGTCTAGCCATTAGACTTGTGTACACGCGAGCTTGCACTGAGGACGGAACGCATCGTCTTACACGACTGGACCGAAATCCAGCAGAGAAAGATTAGTCGATGATAAGGTTTCGTTTACTGACCCATCTGAAACATCTCTTCTGTACCTTTGTATTTATAACTCAACGATAGCTTGATACACAAACTATCTAAGGAGGTGGACATTAACCAGGCACATGAGTTGTAGTGGTAGTGCGCTGAGGATATTTCAGCCGCGTTCCGTGCGGCTTGAGACGGTAGATACAACAGTGTCTTGAAGAGATCTCAGCTGAGGCTAGGATACAGCGTTGTCACCGCTATTCATCAATATTTTCCACCAACTTCGGATTGGTGCACCTGGAAGTGCTCGGAATTACTCAAAGTAAATAACTAAATAATCGCTTTTTATTTATTTACTCCACTTTTGCACGCTTATTTATTTCATTGTTGGCTACGAATGAGCCGGTTTCTTAAGGTAACGGAATACAGCCTCCTAGATAAAAAGATTATACCGATACGATGAATATTGCCTCTGGCTCACTTCTGTAGTTGACTAAACCACAGCACACTGTCATCATGATATACCCAAGAATTGCCTAGCACAAATTGAGGAATGTTAAACGGAATGGGTGATCTGATCGCCCGAATGGTAAAAAACAGCCCTGAAATATGTAAACAGTTTAATTGTTGCTTTGCCACACCGGCTCACAGCCAGTTTTACCATGGTAGTGCTCGTGAAACCTTTCGAGGGAATACCCTGCATGGAAGCAGGTCCCATGGAGACAATTCCATGGATGCCCGTATTACTTTACTTGAACTTTTGTTTACACAAGCATCTGTCGTTGTTCCCACTTTCTTAATAATTGTAACAATTTCAAACTGCCAATCACACTTTAAAAGTTCTATTTGTGCTCCACTGTATAAAACATAAACAGTTCACTATTTTATACAACCTCTTCGTATAACTTGATCAGACCATTCAATTGCACTGTCTCCCACACCGTCGTGGAATATACCGTTTATTTTTTGTTCATAGAATATGCACAATCACAGGGGACTTGCCTCTACCTGGTTCGTCTCGGCAGCTTACAAATGTGCTAATCTAACCAGCAATCCGTCAATGGTGCGTATTTCCCTCGATCCCCCATAGGGAATCGAGATCGCGACCGTTAGCAGCTTGCGCCAGCTATCCGGTTGCTTGTGCCACTGAGCCACGGGGGACGTTGGCACACCGTCGCTAACTTTATGGTTTACCAGGAATCAAATCGCATTGGTGATAAACATTGGACCAATGATCTGCATATTCTCTATTTGTTTACACCAAAACTCACGAGCCGGTTACCAAGACGGAGCCCGTAACATAAAACACAATAATGGTAAAACGAAATAAAGTTTATCTCGTAATGTGGAAATCTGCATGGAGTTGTATAATATTTTAGTATGAACTAACATTAAGAGGTGATTCTCGCGGGTTGTCTTTGTTTGAGACGGTGATGGACTAAAGTAAACAGGTTCAAAACCCATAACGGAAGACAATTCCGAGATATGCAGACGAGAGTGCCTCACGTGGACGGTCGGCATCAGCAATGTTTGATAGTGCATCTTTATCCAGTACTTTGGAGAAGGAGTTAACGGAGAGTTTGTGCGCTTGATTGAGTGGAACACCTCTGTAGCCGCTTCCGTTGGGGCATATGTGGTCCAAACCCTTAATCGGAGGCCGCAGCATAAGTATGTGACACGGTTTCTAGACACCTATCATTGGGACACGGGTTGCCACCCGACCGGCGGGCTAAGTCACGCCACAAGCTGATGAAATCAGTTCGTCATCATCATACGGGTTTCTACCCGAGCAGCGGTAACACGGCTAACTCACGCGGGAAGCTGATGAAATCAGGCCGTCAGCATGAAACAGATTGCTACGTGACAGGGCGCAAGCAGCTTTGGAATCTTTCCAGGGCAAGTGGCTTGAGTCAGCTTAGGAACTTACAACAGAATATGATAGATTGTGACCTATAAAATGAACCGTGTTTTGTGCCTAATATACTTCGGTATAGCAAGTTTCGGTGTTCTGTTTAGACCCCAGCTGGACCGACAGCGGCAGAGAGTACAGGGGAAGCAGCGTTACAACACCACAGGCATTGATGCTGCAGAAGCAGGGTTAGCAGACGGGTGAACAGGGTTGTAATGAGATTATCTTGTCAGAATAAGGAGACCGATCCAAGGTAAGATTTAGTTACTGGGAAATGCGCTTGACAGATTCACTCATTTGAAGCAGCAGGTATAATCCAACTACACCTTTCCTGATTGGTCGAATTTGGTTTGCGCTACAAAACGCCCTGATCGGCTCAAAAACATTATTGAGGTGCACAAACAATGCATATTGAGGCGCTCTGGTCGGAACACCGCGTGAGCAATGAGCGTGTTCCGTGTCTCACATTTTGTGCATGAAAAACGAGCGCACCACTCATCCTATATGCCATTATTTCGGATAGATACCTCGAACTGTGTTGTTTGCGCGACCGGGATGTGGAGGGGATGCCAACCGATAACTTGATCAAGAAGAATGAAAACACTCACTTTGATGCTGCTTGGTGTCTGTCGGTTGCCTAGCTGAGGTCAGAGGCCGTTTAACACGTTTGCTTTGCGACACTTGTCGATCTGGCGAAGGGCCGACCGCAATGGCGTTTATTTTGTGAGTTGCGTTGTCCCTCCCCTTCCTGTTTATCTTCCTCCTCCACCACTGTCTCACTATTCAAGCGTAATACGGTATTAAGTGTTAGTTTAAATAATATTTTGTATCCTGCATTCTCATATGTCCTATTTTTTATTATAGCACAATAGGTGAAGCGTTTCTTGCCTTTTTTAACATTGAGGCGAACTCTGGATCGATCACACCATGCTTTTTACTACTTTGTGGTTGCTGACGAAACGGTTATTCATGAACGCCAACGTGAGTTCAATGAACATCGCTTATTTGCTGATCAAGGCTCTACCGCGTGTTTGACTACCCTGACCTTTTACTTCAGAAGAACCTAAGCTAGACAGCAACTGGCGCATTTTAATAAGCGAATAGCTCGATTTTTGCGTCCTAAGGATGTTAAAACAATCAAGCTGTGGCGTTTACCCTTGGCGACCCGCAACCGGAATGGACGCGCGCCGCGTGTTGAAGACATTGCGCTACAACGAAGTTGTAGACCTAAAAACCTGGCGATTATCACTAAAAGTTCAGAGAAATCGATGAAGGCCCAGCGGCGGAATGATTTTTGTGCTTTTTCGGTTTTACCCGAAGTACATAACCGAGCTTACGAGTCGAGACTTAGCGGTAGATTTTAGCCCTTTTGCATGCTAGCAGCGTCATTCGAAATCATCTTTCTGGGAATCGACCAGCAAACGGCTTTTGCGACAGCACGATCTATCGCTTGGCTTTGTATCGAAATACACAACAGTGAACTCTCAGTTGCACACCGCCTCTAGCAAACGCACCCCCCCCCGGTCGACGCAGATTTATGCGCATTATATTTCTTTAAGTAGCAAGGCTGAGTAGCCTGTTATCATGAAGGGATACGTCTGCAAATTCTGTGCTGCACGACACTATGAATCGGGAACATTATCCAACGGGGTGTTCACATCCTGCAAAGTATAGGAGGGGGGTCATTTTGTGCCCTGTTACCAGTCGGCCTACTTAAACGTACTCGTTCACGGGTCTGAAGACAGTCAGTTGGCAATAGAACAAGCAAGTGGACAAAGAAATTTGTCTACGCACCGCTGTTGATTAGTGATAGAATCATATGGCTCGAATGCGCGATCAATATAATGCAAGAAATAGCACTTCCTCAGAAGTAATTACCAACCAAACCAAAGCTGTCCACACATGCGAAATTGCTGCATGCAACTGAAAGGCTCGGCTACGCCTTCAATGATTAACCCCAAGGATGGATCCTCACATCCATCTAGTTTCTTGGTATTGCTCTTTTATGGCCATGGTCAACTTGTGCAAACTCAACAGATGGGTATTGATGTTTACAATGTGTATCTATCAATAATTAGTCCAGGTCTGGAGTTATTTTGTGGGACCGTTCACTTGTTGACATCGACACCACCGATGACACTACTTAGTAGCTTCTGTTGGCGTTTCTTGACCGGCTATCTGCTAGAGTGAGCAAACTGGGAAGACGGATGTGATTTCCAAATCTAACTATCTGGCAGACTGGACTAATCAGATCGCAGTCATTACGAGGAAGTCTAGCGAGTCCCGAGGATACTTTGACCTGGAACCGTTGAATGATGTCCTTTGTAAAAAGCACCGTGTACTACCGACCTTCAATGACATTCCGCAACGGTAGGTATTTCACAAAGATGGATCTACGCTCTTTCACGGTGTTTTAGATGAAGATTCCACTCTCGACACAACCGATATTACATCGTTTTGGCCTGATCGTCAACTGTACTTACCGTCTGGTTTTGGATTTTCTAGTCCAATACAGTTGCTGCAAACAAGCTACGACCTAGGTATTATTATTTGTGTGGCAGGAACTATGGTACTTTTCGCTGGACTAAAGAAGGGCATTGCGCCATTTCACACCGTTTCTTGAACGTCGCGTTCTAGAGAAACATCTAGCTTAAATATGAGTAAGTCGAGCTTCGGAAAAGTTGTGATTTCTCAAGCGTATTTGATAACCTCTGAGAGGATCGAAGTCAGTCTAATGTAGCTTAGGTCAATACAAGTGCTGTGTCCTCCTAACGATGTGAACTGGGTTAGTCGCCTGAACAACACGGTGTATTGTTTGATCCGTCTCTTTCACAGGTTTGTCAAAGTTACGTCTCGGATATGTAAACCAGCTCACAAAGGATTGAGGTGAAGTTGCGGAATGACACAATAACTTGTTTGCGAATAATAAGTGTCTTAAAAGCAATACACATGTACTGGTTTATTGCGATCTAACGCATCATGGAGGAATATTGTGACAGTAGACAGTGAAACAGGCGCGGTTCTTATGCAGGATGGAAAACCGAGTTTTCACAGTCGGCACTTTCACTGGTAAAGTAGCGCTGTACACAAATTTACAACCAATTGTTCACGATATACGATGGGCTGGGGCGTTTCTACTTTCTGAAGAACAAACTATACCGACCATAAATCGATTGCTCACTTGTTGATCGCCTCTCCGTTTTTGATAATGTGATTGCATACGTTTCGCCACCATGTGAGGTGGCATCTTCAGTGCGGTGATATGCAGTGTACAATCCTGCTTATTAAATCGTCAGTCCGTGATCGACTGTCAGGTGACTTTTGAAAGTGGCAATTTCGATTTGCTCCTCGTGATCTCTGCCCGTTTTTTTCCGCGGCTGTATCGATTGTGTCTACAACCAGCAAGCCGCTCTACTCTTCGGATTCAGAAGTGCGATATAGATCTTGCGTACACGCCAAGACCACAGGTGTTCATCGCAGGAACCTAGTCAAGAATTCAGCTACCGGTATTCGATCATTATCAGGAAGAGATCTCAAGCTGTTACTCTGGTGCGGTAATAGGAGATGGTATAAGGTAAGGCATCGCACAGCGTAGTCTACAGCGTATTTTGCTTTTCGAGCCATAACACCAAGTGGCTGACCAGAGCCAAACAACTTCCGATGGAAGTAACATCCTACCTCTGCATCCGGGACGATTTTGCTATTTATCGGCGTTCGCGCTGTTCAACCGCAATTGTGTTCTCATCCCGAAATTACTCAAAAGAGGTGAGCTGCAGCTCTTTCATCGTCCACACCGAAACGTTACTCATATTGCTGTCAGAGTTAGATAATTGATGTTCTAGCCTAGAATGCATGTCAAATCAGGGTTCGTTCGTCAAACTATACTGTCCGTCTTTCTCACGAAATTCGGCCAACCGATAATGCTGCACAGGGTTCCCGATCGATTTTGTCAGAGAGCGGCAGTGGATTTATGCTGTGTCAACGGTTGGTCAATGCTTGTTTTCAAATTGGTCTACACATCACTGCGACCACTTAAGTGGTCATCATCAATCTCAAATGTCACTACCTGGAATGGAGTACTAAAATAACAGGTCTCCGACAATGCTACTCAGTCTGTTATGAATGCATTTGACTCCCTTACAGCATCCTCGGAGTTTGCATACCGACAAACAAGTTCGCATTACAGCCGAATATCAGCAAAGCAAGCTAGGTGAGTGTTTTCCTAGGTTTATCACTTGCTAGCCGAAATAATCAAACTCATAGCTTGTAATCCAGTGATCTTCCGTACGAATTCTCGGACGACCATTTGGTATACCCAGCTCATGCGCGACCGATGGTGGTGCGAGATGTCGATGCTATGTCCCAGCATACTACTGACACCTTCCCCATCATTTTATGTAAGGATAAAGCAACTCACGAGGACACATAACTCTGCCTTTTTGACTAATGACAATGTCCTGTTATCAAGCATCGTACTGTACCCAGTGCAGCGCCCATGGATTCGAAGAACTAGAACTCGAACCCTGCATCAGCCAAATTTGTACGTTTAATTTCACTACAGCTTGGGTGATTCCAATACGGTCGGAGCAAGCGAATGACTGCACAGAAACGGCAATACGAACAGGGTGCTTGGGCTATACCTGAACTGAGATTGGGGGAGAAAGCATAGTTTCAACTAGTTTCCTGTGTCTGAGAGCAATGGAGAAGTGGTGTGCTCACTGCAAAGGTTGGTGCAACCTTTTATGAAGCCGAAATTAGAGGGAAGATGGACCAGAGAAGCCGTATAGAGTTGAGGTGGCATCAGAGGCAACAAGACGGATCTGGTGCATGGCATCCGCTTGTACAAGTCTAACGCGTCTGAAGGTTATACAGCTGATACACAAGCGGTGGATTCATTCTCAATAGTTCCTAGTTTTGATTTAACTACTTTTGGAATTACTATTTTTTCTCTTGTGTGGTTGTGTCGTTTTCAGTGGGCATTTCTCAACATCTATTTTTCTTATCTTTTATTTTACCGAGTCCATTGGACGTCAGCCTTTATCCTTACCTCCCTTACCTGAGCTCCAATTTTTCGCTGTTTCTATCTTGGTGCGATATTTTTTTCCAGATTTTTGCGGTACCATCGAATATTCCTGTACTGTCACAACACGGCTTTGATGACCCAGCATCAGATATGGCCTCCTCCTTCTATGGAATGCGCTCACGATGTCCAAGCGAATTCCGATTTTTGGGATGATTCGGACCTGGTTGCGCACTATGATCGCGTCGACACATTCGTTAAGGTATTTGCATTATTTCAACGTCTTTTGTGTTTGTACGCTTTATTTCTAAGTTCCGATCAATTCCATTTTAGTTGATTCACTCCGAGCATTTGCTTGCTCTGTTTCATTTTCATGTTAGAGGATTAGACAACGTGTACAGCCAATCACTTCTGCGGACAAATCAACCGATCACATATGTTCGATTTTGTCCTTCAGCTTTCACATTTATGTATGCAGCCAATTCGTTGAACAAGCGCCACGGATCTTGCAGTCCCAGTCATGGTTTGTTGTACAGTGTGACAGCTCCATGTTCACTTCTTGCACTGTTGATTAAATGTGTATAACCCACACTCAGTATTCACAGTAACCTCTTCAGATGAGTTGTCCAAACCGATTGCGCAAACTACCACGGATTAGCCTCATATGCGTTGCGTCTAAAGTGCTAGCCTCCTTTTTTCGGATGTTCAGTCATATACGCGAACATGCCACACGGGAAGAACAGGCCGGATTTCACCCAGGTCGGAGTCGTATTGATAACCTATTTACGACCCGTTAGACGTTCGATCACCGTCAAGCTTTCAGCCCGTTTACACTCCTTTTTTCTCCTGGGTCTACGTACTGCATTTGATTCAGTAGACAGAGCTGCTCTTTGAAGTTATCCGCTGAGAAAAGGAATGTTCATTAAGTATTTTAACTTACTCTAAGCCGTTTACTTTCAAATCTTGATCCCAACGCTGGTGTACGGCGGACGTTCACGCCCCTAAAGCTAGGGTTGCCCCTTATCACCATTCTTGTTCAGCTTCTCCGTGAATGACATCCTATAGAGTGCTATGGGAAACTGTAGGCTGTGTAGCGTCGGGTTACGCTTAGGTGATAGACTTCGTAATTTAGCGTAGGCTGACGAAATCACTGTAATCTCTGACTCTTCCCAGGCTGCACAGATCATACTGCGCAGGTTGAGGATGTCCGTTTCACAATTCGGAATGACCATTCCCCCTTCGAAGTATAAGGTCCTCCTCCGGGACTAGGTAATAGCTGCTCCTACCCTCACCCTCTCGACAAGTTCGTTTACCTCGTGAGTTGAATTAGCGTGAGCGGATTTACGGATAAGATTAATTTGCGCATAACCAAAGCCAAACTAGCATTTTCAACTTCCGACATCACTTACTCTGACGCGACCTCAGTCTTTCTCTAAAAGGTTGTGCCTACAATGCTACTGTACGAGCATTGCTCCTTTATGGCTGCGAGACTTGGCAGATTCGAGCGAGCGATGTCCAGAGACTGTCTTTTTTAGTCACCGATGCCTCCGGAGCACTGCTGGTATACGTTGGCAGCTTCGCATTAGCAATGATAACATTCGATGTCGGATCTTTTAGTCAAGTAGTCCCCGCCGACCACTGAGCTATATATATATATATATTTATATATACATATATATATATGTATATGTATATATATATATATATATATATATATATATATATATATATGATTGGCGGCATCCGGTTCCGGATTTGCCTGTCACTGTGGCCAGCCACAGGACGCCTACGCTTATAGAGGGACCATGCGTGGCTTGCTCTGCACCACCCACAGCTCCAACCACACACCCCATATCCAGTGTAAACCCGAAGGAATAAGACCGGGAGGCATGTGGATGGGAGCCACGTTTCATCAACGGAGTCGGCCCACACTCCTTCACAGCAAACACAAGCACACTGTATTTGGGAATCAAGCGCATACAAGGCGGTGGCTGGACCGTAATCCGCTCCACACTGAGTGCATGAATCAACTGTTCGAGCCTAGCACGACCACAAGGACCGTGCACCCCGTCCCCTCCAGCAACGGCCAACTATCTCCTAGAGACAGTATGAACGAGGTAGTGGGTAATAGACAGGTAGACACCTTGTCAACATGCACATCAAGCGCAGTCGCACCGGGGATGTCAAACAACAGCCAATCACTTGAAATGACAGTAACAAATAAAATATATCTGTTAAAGAATACGGCTATGCAGACATAACTCTTCCGTAAATTAGCCTGTGAAGTATGTTGGTTAGCAACGAATCCGCGATAAGTAAAAAATGTCCAGAAGTGACTCAGAACATGCTACAAACGCAATAAAGTTAACGAAGATAAGCGCAATTACCGTAAGCAACGTGGAAATTTAATAGAAGATTATTCCGGTAGGCAGAGCAAATCAAATGAAGTGGAATGAAATTTATCCAGCTTAAAAAAGGACTTAGTTTAAGTGTAAGTTGGTTTAACCCAGCTGCGGTGAAGAACCATCATGAACGCAACATCCGCCTCAGCATGGAGCGCATCTCATGCATATATGGTTGGGGGCATATATATATATATATATATATATATATATATATATATATATATATATATATAACAGATCACCTTACCTCGGAATCGCAGCCGAAGTTATAATCTTCCCTCTGCATCATCGCTGGTGACTTCAATGGGAGTGATACAGTCTTCATCAAAATGCTGAGTGTAACCAACTTGGTCGTATTCCCACCACGCACATTTGAACTTAGGTTATACTAACGTGATTTGTTTTCGACACAACGACACGCCTCATTTGATCATTCTGGCCATTGCATCTTGAAGATATGCCCAAGATCAAATACGTTGCAATGACAAAAGGGCCATTCAGAACTGTTAAGCGGCGGAACCGCTCAACGGAAGACATTGCAAATCTCGTATTGACGCTCTTCTCAATTTTTGCCAGTGAGGATCTGTCAGCTCGACGCGCCCATTTCACAGACTATCAAGTTCTGTTTCACTCTCTATTGTCTACTTGAGACTAGCTACCTTCGGAACAGCCTTACAAATACCAGCTAAGAACTGGTGTCAAATGTCTGTCTGTGGCCATAAAAGCCGAGATAAAAGGGTCAAATAACCTATACCTTGAGGTTGTTTTAGGAAACCACATTTGCCGTGACTTGTGGAGACTGTTGAGTCAAGTCATTGCAAAAATTCCACTAGTCCACGCAATACTGTGGATGTGGACAAGCCCAACGCAGAATTTAGCTCATCATCATCAAATGCGTTCCCCATTACCCTTCCTTCCCCATCAGTGATCCTTCCACCTTATTTGTCCACATCAGTCTTTACGGAGAACTCCCAAGACTGAACCAAAACAACACTAGTGGCTCTGAATTCTTGCCACCAGTCGCTTCAAAAGTGTGTGCGGATGTATTGCACTCACTTCTGACAAGGATTTTCAACCTATATTTAACGACTGCCACTATCCACGATCTCTGGAAGCACAGAAGTATCGGCCAATAGCATGTACCTCTGTGCGACTGAATTTGCTTTATATATATTATATATTTATTCATAAGCGTGAGATAAATGTGCCACCTGAACCATGGCTGTAACAGTGTTTAAAAAACTTACAGTTTAAATAACAAAAAATAAACGGTTTTTTCTTTTGAATTTTTTCTATTTCACACGCTTTTTTTATTTACTTTTGTTTAAAGTTGAAATATCGATGAAAGGAAGTGTTTGACCAGCATTGATGTCACTGATTTCGGTCACGAGCCATAGTCTCTAAAACTTCCAGCCATTTGGAGTCCCCATCACGTGGCCCCCAATCTGGAAGAGATCATCATCATCATCAACAGCAGTACATCAGCCATTTGATCCTGATGAAGCCAGGCATGAGGTGACATCCTTACTGTTCCTTTTCAATGTCATCAGTTGTCCTCCTTTACAACTAATACTCGGTGGGGAAGTCGATTGGTTAGCATGCGCAGAACGTGACCAAGCTTACTTAAACGGTGTTCGAGAATAATTTCCTTGAGACTGCGATTATTCGCTCCGAGTACTCGGCTACTAACTTCCGAGTTGCTTACGTGGTGTTGCCACCACACACGAGCGATCGTTCACAAGCAGCTGTTGTCGAAATATGCTAGTCGTTTCACATCTACACAGACAGTCAGGTCTCGCAACTGTACAGCAAGACCCCACGGACAGTGACACTGTACACTCTGTCGTTGAGCCTTAGACTGATGTCGCAGCGGCGCCACAAGTGCCTCAGCTTAGTGAACACTAGGCGGGATTTAGCGATTCGCTGAGGCACTTCATCCCCAACATCGTCACCCGCCGTGCTGCAATCTCCTAGGTAAATGAAGCGATTCATCTACTCCGGGCAGTCACCTGCATTTATGAGTGCTGGTACCGGCACTTGCCAATCTTGGCGCTGGATTTGACACTTGGATGCAACAAAATACAAAGCATAATTAGATGCCTCGATCGCTAGGCGGTTCAGAACCTTTTGCATGGTCTGTGGCTCCTCCCCCAGCAAAGCGATGACATCAGCATAATTTAAATCCGAAACTCTGTCTCCGAGGAGGAGCTAACGTCGCAGCTCCTGGCTCTCCAGGGCGCGGTGGAGAACATCATCGATGGCAAAGTTGAATAAGAATGGTGAGATCGGGCATCCTTAGCATACTCCGTTGGTAACAGCAAAAGACGAAGAAACCTTTCCATGAGTTTTAATTTTCACGATTGTGACAAATTTGTCGGGAACACCGCTTCTTAGCATACAGTTTCAAGGAAATGTTCTATCTATGTTGTCAAAGGCGGTGTGGATATCCAAAAACAACACTATTGTTGGTCTTCGGTTTATGTGACGATATTCGCGAATTTAACACAGTATGAAGATCTGGTCGGTGAAACCTCGACCACTGTGAAAATCGGCTTGTTCCTGGCAAGACAAACTCTCTAGTTGCTGAAAGTCTGAGGATCAATATTGACGCTAACACTTTAGACGCGACCGAGATAAGTGATATTTTTTGGTACTTGGTGCAATCGTTGCGGGAGCCTTTCTTGTAAATCGGGATGATGATAATAGATTCGCCCCAAGGGTTGGGAATCTTCTCCTCGACCCACACTTTTGTGAAAATCGTGAGCAGTTCGCCAATAAATATATTTCCTCCATCCTTAAATAGGGCCAGAGGCTTTGTATTGTTTCAGAGTCCGGATTTCTCTCCGAACCTCAACCT